AAAAAGACAAAAAAAAAAAAAGTTACAAACAAATTGAAGTTAATGTTGCCCACTGAATACCCTTGCTATGTGCTTTGCCTCCCTATTGGAGTAATGTTAGCCAAGCTACTATACTTATAACCCTATACGTTGACTATAGCTTGACCCATAGTCACCCAAATTGTGATTTTGTGTGTGAATTATTGCCGGACAAAGAGCCTCAGTGGCAACCTACTTTCAAGATTCCTCCTGTCTCTCAGGGGCTTTCTCTCAATAAACTTTTGCTATTTTTAACCTCCTTGTGCTTGTATCCACTCTTTGGTTATTGCGAGACACGAACTCAACACACCTGCCAGCTAACAGGTTGGGCATCACTTTCCTGTGACATCGCTATATACTCAGGCTGGCGTTGTACTCTCAATGTAGCCCAGGTTGGCCTTGAGCCTGCAGTCTACCTGCCTCAGGCTCCCAAGTGCTGGGATTGTGCACCCAGCAGTTTGTAGTTGCTTGTGTTTGTGTGTGTGTGTGTGTTTGATTAATACTGGGGATCAAAACCAGAGATGCTCTACCACTGAGTTGCATCTCCACCCCTTTTTATTTGTTAAGACAGGGTCTGGCTTAGTTGCTCAGGTTGGCCTCTAGCTTGCCATCTTTTATCTCAGCCTGCAGAGTAGCTAAAATGGGTACATTTTATTGTATGTGAATTACACTGCAACTCAATTTGATTTTTTTTTTGTTTGTTTTTCTCCGGTACCGGGAACTGAACTCATGACCTTGCGCATGCCAGGCAAGCGCTTTTTGCCGCTGAGCTAAATCCCCAGCCCCTTCAATTTGATTTAAATGGGGAAAAAATGGCGGAGTGTAATGGTGCAGCACTCAGGAAGCTGAGGCAGGAGGATCACTGTGAGTTCAAGGCCAGCCTGGGGTACAGACAGAGACCCTGTATTTTTTTTTTTTTTCCTTTAGTACATTTTAGGTATACATAAGAATGACATTCATCATAGGGAATTTGTACTTGTACATGACGTATCTTGCTTCTTTTTCTCCCATCCCCCTTCCCTCCCTTCAACTCTTTTTCCCTTGCTTATTTACAAAAGCTTTGTTTCCATTTTTTCCTTCTATTCCCTTTTTTCTTCCCTTCTTTCCTTCCCCCACCTCCCTCTCTTGTTCCCCTTCTCATTTGAACATTTGCTCCCCGTTCCCCAATATCTATTATGCATTTTGGTCCTTACTTAGACTTTTGGTTTCTCACACCCGAGAAACAATGTGGTGTTTAAACATGTGTGCCCAATTTATTTCATTTAAGAGTATGGGAGAGACCCTGTCTTAAAAGAAAACTAAGCAGGCGGCAGAGAGGAGGTGGGCAGGAGTGTGGCTCTGTGTGGGGGTGAAGGTGTGCCCACCCCAGGGGCTGCTAAGCGAGCTCCCGAGTGAGCACACAGGGCGGGAGTAGCAGGGGCTTAGCCCTGCCCCAAGGGACCCCTTCTTTCAGGGGCAGGAAGAGTCTGGGGCCTGAGAGAAAACAGTCGAAAGGAGGGGGGAGGACAGCAAGCATCATGTCTTGGACACTAGGGCATCGCGGCCCATGGAGCGGGAGGGAAGGATGCCTGAGAATCTTTGCGACAACCAGAGAAGGCCTTGGCTGTGCCTTCCAGCCCTTGACATAGACATCCCTTTACTCTGTCAGGGCGGCCCAGGGCCTTGTTCCAGCGGAGTCTGAGGGGCTTGCATTGGGTGAGCCCCTGGGACACCAAGGCAGGCCCAACTGGTGCGGGGCTGAGGTGTGGTCCTTGTATCCTTGGAACCCTGAGTAGTTGAGGAGGCTAGTTGGAGCCTGTGTCCACATCCTGGAGGGCTTGGGCTGGCCTCCAGGCCTGGGCAGTAGCCCCAGGATGGGCACTGGCTCCCTCCACACACCACAAAGCCGCTAAATTTAGCCAGGCAGGGGAGGCCATCCTGGGGCCGAGCGCTTGGCAGCAGGGCCTTGTATCCCTACAAGGCCTGGCCCAGAACCCAAGCCGGCCACCCAGCCTTTGGGCTTATAAGGCAGGTCTAGCGGATCTCCAGTGCTGGAGTCTCTGAGTGGGCCCTGAGCCAAGCCCTCAGACTTTGGGGAGCCTCCTTCCCAGCCATCACCAGGCATGGGAACTACTTGTTCTGTGACCTTGGGCCAGGTGTTCAACTTCCAGAGCCTCGATTTCTGCATCCATATAATGGGGATTCTAGTACCTACCTTTTATCACCTACCTCACAAAGAAAAGCCTGCCAAATTCTAGCATGCGAAACTTGGATTTTTGTCCTATCCTTCTGTGCCCCCAGTGAGGCCTAGAATGAACAGTGTCCCTGAGGATGCTGGAGTAGGGGACAAGGATGAAAAGATGCATTTTAGCACCAGTGAGACACTGACCCCATCAGTGGGCTGGCTTACTCCTGCTGGGTTATTAGCAAGAAAGGGGCTGGGGTGTGTGCAGGGAGGGGGGGGCGGGGGAACTGTGTCCTTGGTCCCTCTTGGATCTGTCGATGTCTCTGAGTGAGCAGCGCCTCTGTGTCCGTGCCTGGACCATAACAGAGGCACATGTGTGCGCTCCAAGCGAGTCTGTCACCTGTCTGTCTTTCTTGGGGTTGGGGGAGGAGTGGGAAGAGGAACAGAGGAGGCGGAAAAGAAAAGGGAAGAAAAGAAGGAGGAAAAAGTGAGGAAGAGGAGGAAGCGGAGGAGGAGATGACAGGGATGTGAGAGGTACGGACCAGAAGGACAGTGACTGGCTGCCTTCCTTCCCTTCCCTCCTTCCTTTCCTCCCTCCCTCCCCGTCTTCCTTCCTTTCTCTCCTTCATTCCATGCCAGAACATGGTGTGAATGTCCGGGAGAAGCAGGGGGTGTGGCGCTGGGCAGAAATGGCTGAGACAGTCTCAGCAAGACCCGCTCCCACCACAAGCTGCTCACATCCCGGGCCTCCTATTTCCCCAGCTGTGGGGTCCCCTGGGAGAGGGACAGGCTCTTTTGTTTGGGGTCAAGATCAGGCCAAGGGAATGTGCTGCTTGCCACAGCTCGGTCTCCCAGCATCTTTGGATTTTTCCTTAGAAAAATGCAAGATGGGTATGGCGAACTAGAGCAAGTGTGTCTCAGACTTTGGGGAGCCTCCTTCCCAGCCATCACTAGGCTTGGGAACTACTTGTTCTGTGACCTTGGGCCAGGTACACTTGGGATCCTGAGCCTGGAAGATTGCAAGTTCAAGACCTGCCTGGGCAACTTAATGAGACCCTGTTATTTAAAAAATAAGTCAGAACCTGCAGGACTTTGTTCTGTCCCAGCACTCCTTAAAGGTGTTGTCAGACAGTTGAGCTAGAGAGGTCCTTGCCAGTCCAGCCAGCAAGTCTGTGGGATGCGCTGATCCAGTCTACGGGGAGAGATGAGCCTGAGGGTTGGAGGTAGATGGGCACCTTCTCTCTTCGGGCAGCTCCCATGCGGTCCAGAAAGCAGCTCAGCTCATAGACAGTGGGGAGTGGCTGGGATTCCCAGCCCTGGGCCTGGCTCCCTGCCCAGAGTGATTTCCCAGCTAATGGCCTGTCAGGAAGAAGATTCCTTATCAGCCGGCAGGGCAGGGCAGCCTGGGTGGGGTGCAGGGAGGTGGGGACTGGCAGGGAGGCCCTGCTTCAAGCTTGAGCATTCAATACCAACCCAGGGAGGCTTGGGCTTCCCATTCCCCCGTCCCCACATCTGAACTTCATCTGCAAAGTGAGGGCTGGGTGTTCGGTGGCTTCCAGTTCTGGGCCTTGCTTACTGTTGAGGTGGGCAGAGGCTGCAGGGGGCGCAAGGGCTGGAGAGTGGCTGGAGGTCAAACCCAGCAGTGGCCTCCAGTCTTCTGCCTTTGGTGTTGTCCCCCAGGGACCTCGACCTATGGGGCAAATGCCATTAAGTTCCCGCCTTTCAGTGAGGAAGCGGGCTCAGAGAGGTAAGGCCAAGTTCCCAACCCCCACAGCCAAGTGGGAGAGCTGGGAATGGCTAACGTCAGGCTTTTCCGGCTGGGCCTTGGGGGGCCCATGGCACTGTGTGACCTGTGGCCCTTGCCTTGTCTGGAAATCTGCCTTCCTTTTCCACTCTGAAGGCTGGGAGTGGGGGTCGGGGTGGGTCAGGAGGTGTGGCCAGGGCAGGACAGATGGGAGGAAAGGACCCTGGGGGATGGAGATGCCAGCCTAATGCTGCAGTTGACGGCATAAGGCAGGCCGGAGTCTGAGGCATGGTGGTCAAAGGTGGTGTGCAAGGGTGAGGTGGGCCCCCTCAGGAAGTGGCGGCTGCAGGACCCGAAGCTGCCGTCCCCTGTCTTCTTCCCCATCCCCTGCAGCCCTCAGGGCCTGAGCTGCTCATCCTGCAAGCAGAGGGGCTGGTGTGTGGGGATAGGGAGGGTACCTGGCTCTGGGGGAAACTTGAGGCCGCCCCAGGTCCCCCAGGCCCTGGCCAGATCTCCCAACTCTGTCCTGTCAGGTTCATGGAGAATGGGGGATGGCTGATAGCTTTATCTCTGTCCTTGTAACTGGTGGTTGGTGGTTTCCGGCCAACAGCCCCGTTTCCGGAGGCCCAGCAGGGCCCAGGCGGAGCCAGGAGGGACAGTGGGGCTGGGCCTGAGTGGCCCCATCGGCCCCGCCTCTGTCCATCTTTGGGATTTATTTGTCACGGGCACTGCTGGTCTGCAGTTTATTGCCTACCAGGGGCCCAGAGCAGCTCTGACCACCCCAGGATTCTCCCTCTCAACCCAAGCAGCTCCAGTTGACCTCTGACTCCTGACCTCTGGCCCCACTTGCCTTGACTGGCTTTCTGTGGCACTGAGAAGGCCCCCGAATCTCCACTGCTGTAGATGTGGGTATCAATGCCCTGCTCCTCCTGATAGCAAAGGCCGTGAAGTGGGCTCTGCTCTGAGCCCCAATCTGGCCCACCATGGTACAGCGACTGCAGAACGAGCTGGCTGGCTTCTTCTTCGAGTATGACACCCCTCGAATGGTGCTCGTTCGCAACAAGAAGGTGGGCGTTACCTTCCGGCTAATCCAGCTCGTGGTTCTGGTCTATGTCATCGGGTGAGTCTGGGCCCCCTCCCTACTGCCTTGTGCGTCCCCTCAACCAGGGGCTGTCCTCCAAGCTCTGGGATGCCTGCAGGATATCGCACAATCCCTCTTTCTTTCTATCCACTGGGAGGCCCTCCCAGCAGTCACTGTGCTGTTGGGAAGGAATGCAGAGCCTTGCTGACTGTCAAGGTGGGGATACTGAGGCAGGGCGGAACCCCTCTCTGGGGCATGTAGTGAACAAGAAGCGATACTACTGTTGGGTTCTGAGGAACTGACTCAGGGCCAATGGTGCCTTCAAGTGGTGAGAGGTTTTGCCACCAGGTTCTTTTTGATCTAACCTCCCACCAAACCAGCCACTACTGAGATGGAGGCCATCGCCAATTTTACAGGCCAGAGATAGCTGGGCTCTGCTGCCCCTCTCCCTAAGTTAAGGATCTCCTGGGAGCAGAGAAACCCTCAGCTTCCACTTCTGAGCACTGGTACTTGAATGGTGTTGTAAAGATGGAAGTCAGCCCTGCTGGGCATCTTTGCTTTTTGATTTGTTTTGGGGATTTTTTTCTTTTTTCTTTTCTTTTCTTTTCTTTTCTTTTCTTTTCTTTTCTCCTCTCCTCTTTCTTTCCTTTTCTTTCTCTCTTTCCCTCTCTTTCTTTCTCTTTCTTTCTTTCTCTTCCTTCCTTCTTTCCTTCTTTTACATAGGGTCCTGTTATGTAGTTCAGGCTGGTCTTGAACTCATTATGTAACCCAAGCTGGCCTTGATCTCATAGTGATCCTCCTGCCTCAGCTTCCCAAATTCTGGGATTACAGGCACGCACCACCATGCCTGAGTTTTCTGGGACCTGTCCTGTTGTGCCAGGAATGCAGGATCAGAGCATCTGGCTGGACCCAAAACATGCAAAAACTGTTTCTATGAAATCAGTCTGGCTGTCCAGAAGCCAAGGCGGCCTGCAGGGGCTTGTGCATGTGTAAGTGCTTGTGTGGGCACATGTGTACATGTCATGTGGGTGCACATGTCCCTGGGCTCTGGGCCTGTGCCCAGTGGGTGTGGCTGCCGGCTGTGTTCCTGAGGCTGACTGTCCACATGTGTGTGCCCTTGTGTGCGCATTGTGGCGGTGTTTGCCTTGTGGCTGATGCACTCCCCGGGGGCCTTGTGCGTGTTCCCTGTGTGTGGTACATCAGATCCATTCACAATGACACTGCTGATGGCTCTGGGAAGAAGATTCAATCCCACTAGGGACCTGGGGACCCCTGGTAATTCTGGCCTGGTTTTGGCTGTGTGATTCTCAAGATCCTGCCCCTCTGGACTCCAAGTCCCTGTTTTTGATGTGTTTTAAACTAGGACTTAATGGAGCCCAAACTGGGCTGACCAGGGGCCTAAACCGTGGCCACAGAATCCCAGTCCCCTAGAACTTTTGCTGTCCAGGACGCCTTTCTTCTGCCAGCCCATCTCCCTAAGTGTCGGAGCTGGGCAGCTGGCGCCTCGGCCAGGACCTCTCTGCTGCCTTTTGCCTTCCGTTCACAAACCAGTGTGACGTCTGTGACAGTGGTTGAGGGAAACCAAGGGAAACTGAGGCCCAGACAAGAGTAATGGGGTTTCCGGTCCGGTAGTTTCTGGCAAGTTAGCAGCAGAGCCAGGCTTAGAACAGAGGCCTCCTGACCTGGAGCTCTCTGTTCTGTTTGCTCCTTTCCACCATCACAGGGCATGGGAGGACTTTCTTACAGGCACAGGATGGACCTAAGAGTCCACCATTAGCTTCACTCCTGACCCTCCAGGGAAGAGAGGTCATCCCCTCGGGCCCACCCTGGTCCTCACGGGAAGAGGCTGGGAGAACTCGGAACCCAGGACTCTCTGTTCTGCCTCGGGTCAGTGGCTGTGGCCAATGCCAGAGCTCTCTTATGGGCTGGACACAGACAGAGTGGGAAGGACAGTCCCCCCATCTACCCCCTGCGTCGGGATGTGCCCCAAGCTGCCATCCAGCCCTGAACACGTGTCTTAAGTGTTAGGGGACCCATCACCTCCCTCTGTCCCTTGTTCCCTCCCAAACCAGCCTGCTGAGATTCCAAATGGATGTGGCCCTTCTCAGAATTAGAGCGGCTCCGAGGTACAGGGGTTTCGCAGGATCTCACAGTTGAGAAGAAGCTGGTCAGGATCTGAAGTAGCTGAACAGCTCCAAAGTTGGCTCTGATATCCTGGGAAGGAAGCATCTCCAGAGAGGGGCACTGATCTGCCCAAGTCACATAGCAGAGCCCAAAGTTAGAGTCTTTTGCCCCCAGGTCTCACTGCCACAAACCACCCCCAAGCACAGCGCCCCCTGGCTGAGGCTCCTGCTGTCTCTGTTGCCCTCCTCTGGCCACTTTCAAGAGCTGCACTGATCCCCACAGCTAAGCGCCCCCGACAGGACTGCACCTAGCCTGGATTTGGTCTCAGCAGCACAGGCCTGAGTTTCCCAACTGTCCCACAAGACAGGGGCTGGACGGAACCATTTGCTCTTTACTGGACAAGGGTGGGTTTTGCCTAGGGACCTTCCTCCTGCTCGGACGTCTATCTGTTCCCTGGTCCTGCAGGCATTGCAGAGATGGTGGGAGGGGCACTAGAGAAGAGCCAGGGACAAAACACACAGGGGACGGGCAGACACAGAGACACAGCTGAACAGAGGAACAAACATGGATCAAGACTTGGGTGAAAGAGGCCCTGAGACTTAGGGACAGAGAGAGAGAGCTCGAGTTCCTGAGGCAGAAGCTGAGATGCCAAAAACAGGAATAAGTTCTACAGAGGGAAACTGAGGCTGTGGTCTTTATTGGTCATGCTCTTCCAGGAAGTCCAAGGCAAGTGTAGGGAGCAAGTGGTTCTCAGGCTGTAGAAGGCTGAGCCTCTTTCAGCTCAGAATGAGGTGGTCTCAGCCGTCTCCCAGGAGGTGATGTGCCTTCTGTCGCTGGAGGTGGGCAGGCAGTGGGCTGTGTGTGAGACCTAACAGGCCCACACTAGGAGCCCAATGGGGCACGTTTCTGCCTGGGGAGCTCTGGGTAGGACAGGGGGAGGACGGTCTGGCTGCAGTACACAGGAGGGTCCGCAAGGGGATGTGTGAATGCTGCTTGGAGAGATGGGCCCAGGGAGGCTTCCCGGAGGAAGTGACACAGTGATGGAACCGACCATGGGCCAAGGTCTGGGGGTGACAGGCTGGGAAGGTCTGCTCTCAGCTTCTTCTCTGGCCACTCTGGACCTCTTCTCACCTCAGTCCTCATCTGTCACCTGTGCCCCCACGAAGAGCTCTTGAAGCACCTGTTCTGAGATCACCAGGTGGATCCCAGAGTGTACCAGTCAGTGATAAGGACACCTTCGCATTCTTCCTGGCAGAAAATATCCAGGTTTCTACAGCATCTTCATGCTGTGCCAGGGGATGGAGGTGGGACACACAGTGGGTAGGGAGAGAGGGAGGAGCTAAAGAGTCAGCAAAAACTTTGATTCCACAACAGAAGCCTAATCACTCTGGATTAAAAAGGAAGGGCTGCTGGCAAGCGCAAGGTTGTGAGTTCGGTTCCCAGTACCGGAGAAAAACAAAAAACAAAAAACAAAAAAAAAAAAAAAAGGAAGAGCTGGGTACTGCTTGCTTTATATATCTGGAAAATTGGGCTGGGGATTTAGCTCAGTGGCACAGGGCCTGCTTGGTAAGCGCAAGGTCATGAGTTTGGTTCCTGGTACCGGAAATAAACCCCAAAAAAATATATCTGGAAAATTACTGTGGGCCTCAAGCCTCCACGTCATAGATCCCCATGACTAGGGCACAGACAGTATTATGCATTGACTGGAACTGTCCCCCAAAAGACTCATGTATTAAGAAGTGCCTGGATCATGAGGTCATTCACCTTATGAGTGGATTAACCCACTGATGACTTCATAGCTCAATGGGCTATTAGGAGGTGGGACCCACTTGGAGGAAATAGATCTCTAGGAGCATGCTTTTGAGGGTATATCCTTTCCCTAGTCCTTTCCTCTCTTCTGGATCGATACCTCTCTTTCTTCTGGTGGGCATAAGGGGACCAGTTCTCTTCTACCACGCTCTTCCTCCATGATGTTTCTGCCTTGGAGCCAGCTGACCATGGACTAAAGCCTCTGAAACTCTGAGCCCACACAATCCTTCCTACTCAAAGTTGTGTGTGCTGTGTATTTTGTTCCAGCAATGGACAGGTGACTAACACACTCAGGAAGGGCAAGGTCTGTAAGGAGATGAGCAGTCCAGGTTGGTTCTCAAAGCACCTATCCAAGGTCCATCTCCTTCTTGTGGCTCTGCTTCCCCCTTTGCAGACATCACTCTCAAGCAGGCTGGCATCCCTCAATTTAGCTACTTCCCCGCAAGCACAAGAGTATCTCCTTCCTTCAGAATTCCAGCAAAAGCCCATGTCCAACCTTTATTGGCTGAGACCAGATCACATGCCCAACCCAGAGCCAATCATTGTAGCCAAAGGAATAAAATACTTTGATTGGAGAAGACTTTGTGCCTAACTGGTCCAAGCTGTCCTGTGGGAAGCAGAGTGGATAGGAGGATCAAGTTCTGTGGGGAGATGTGGTCAGGCTGGGGCATTTCCATTTGTGTTTGTCCAATGGTAGCACTTTGCATTGTGATTGATCTCATACGCCATAATAGTCACCTTTTAATTTTATTTTTCTTTGTTATTATTGGGTTTTTTTTGTGATGCTGGGGATGAAATCCAAGGTTTTATGCATGCCACTGAGCTACCCCAGCCCTCACTTTTTTAAAAAACATAATCACATGGTTTTTAGTGTTCATGAAATTGTGCGACCATCACCACTATCTCATTCCAGAAAATTTTCACCACTCCATAAAGAAACTCTGTCCCCCTTCATCTCCGCTTCTCACAGCCTACTTCACCTGTTTGGGGCATTTCATATAAGTAGAATAATGCATATCCATCTTTCCCTGGCTGTCAAAGTTTGTCCAGGTTGGTTGTAACTTGTGTCAGTACTTCCTTTCTTTTTATGGCTACACCACGTTTTCTGTATCTGTTCCTCTGTGGATGGACATTTGGGCTTTCTTACTTCTTGACTTTTATGAACAATGCTACCCTAAATATGTGTAGACTGATGTTTATAAAGACTTTTTTTTTTTTTGTCTTTTTGAGACAATAGCCCAGGCTGGTCTCGAATTTGCAGTGATCCTCCTGCCTCAGCCTCCCAAGTGCTGGGATTACAGATGTGCACCTGGCCAAGACATATGTTTTTATTTATCTTGGTTGTATACCTAGTAGCAGAAATATGGGGTCAAATGGAACTCCGCAGTTCAGTTTTTGAAGACAGCTGGTGTTGTTTTCCAAAGGGTCCCGGTATCTATGAGATACCTATGAAATGTCTGGGGGAGAGAAAGGGGAACATGAGTCACCAAGCAGCTGGATAATTAGACACTTACATAGACTCCCTGAGCTGGGATTTGTGTTTGTTTTGTTCACTTCTGTATTTTTAGCATGTAGAGGAGTTCTTGGCCCATCATAGGGACTTGATACATAAATGTTTGTTGAATGACTAAATGAATATGTGGGACTGAGTCTCGGGAGGGAGTGCAAATCTGGGGGATGCAGCATGTCTGTGACAGTTTATGCAGGGCTCTGCCAGGGCAAAGAACAAAAGCCAGGAGTATGGGGGTGGCGGGACGTGGAGAAGGGAATCAGCGAAGGAGCGCCAGAAGCAGTGGAAGTGAGGCTTTTAGTTTTCCTGTACCTACCGTACCCAGTAAAGTGCTGATTTCCTTAAAGAGAATTCATAAAAGCCAGGTGTGCACAGCTGTAATCTCAGCTACTAGGAGGCTGAGGCAGGAGGATTGTAAGGTCAAGGTCACCCTGGGTCATTTATCAAGATACTGTTTTCAAAATAAAAAATACAAAGGGATGGGGTTGTAGCTCAGTGAGTGGAGAGCTTTTACCTAGCATGTCTGAGGCCCTAGGTTTGATGCTCAGCACCACCACGGGGGGGTGGGGGGAAAGAGAGACAGAGACAGAGACACACAGAGAGAAAAATTCATAGAAACTTCTCCAATTACCCAGATATTATTTTGCTTTTGGGGGGTCCAACACTGAACCAAGTACGTGGCCTTGTGAGGTGTTTGTGGAATGATTAGCACCTTTGAAGTAGGTGCCATGACTTCTGTTTTACTGAGAAAATCAGGGCTCAGAGAAGGTTAGTCTGTAGCCTGAAGTTGCACAGCTGCAGAGGCAGCTGGACCTCGATCTGGGCCATTTGGGCACGCACCCTCTTCCACGAGTGGCCATTGGAGAAGAGTGCCCCAGGAGAAGTGAAAGACTGGGAAAGATTATTTCTGGAAGGGGAGGGGCTTTGGAAGATGCCAGTGTCTTTGACCTCAGACTCTCTGAGTGGCCTTCCCAGGGTGGTGACCACAAGGCCGGGCCAAAGCATGGCTCTGGAGGGGCAGGCCTGGCGCCATGGTCATTCTATTATTACCAGAGCTGAGGTCATTAATATGATTGCCCTTTCCCTTTGACCTCAGACACAGCCTGGAAATGCTGCATGGGTCCCAGTGCACAACCTTGGGGCTGGGACTCCTGGCTCCTGGGAGATGCACTGGTGCCACGCTACACGGTGGAGGCAGGCAGAGTCCTGGGCGGGGTCTGCTCCCTGCCTGACTTCTGACTGTTGGGAGGGGCGCACCATCAGGCCTCAGTTTCCCCAGCTATGATATGAGGAGTTGGTGTTAGGCATAAAGAGAAATATGGCTTGGATGAGGGGACTGCAGTGCCACGAGGAGGGCAGTGACTGTTCTTGCAGGGGGCTCAGGACGTGGAGCAGCTCCCCTCCCTCCTCTGAGCTTGGGTGTGGAACAAGAGGCCTCCCCGGGGAAGGAACCTAGGAGAGTGGGGGTAGGAGATCCCACTCTCCCAGAAGGGCTGCTGATGTGTGGCAGGCTCAGGACACAGAACTGGGTCCTAGAAATCACCAGCAGAGTAAAAAGGAAACCCACACATTGGGAAAAAATGTTAGCTAGGAGGTATGATAGACATTGTGAAACAAAGGGAAAATGCTCAAAAGTAAAAGGCAACTGGGGTGTGGGAAAAGAGAAGGGAAAGAAGGGGAAATTATGTATGTACGTATATACAGGATAGCTAACATAGTTGTACTACTGTCTTCTATTGCTCTACAGAAAGGAACAGTTAGTGATTACTTGTTTGATCAGTCTTGTATGTCTCTATTTGTTTTCTTTCTTTTTTTTTTAAATTTTGTTTTTCATTTTTCTTTCGGTACTGGGAATTGAACTCATGACCTTGCACTTGCCAGGCAGGCGCTGTGCCGCTGAGCTAAATTCCCAGCTCACTCTATTTGTTTTCTTGAGAAACCACTTTGAAGATATCAATAAGTAATACAACAACCATTGTTAATTTCCTACCACTTTGTCTGTAGCTCTGTTTTGTTTGTATTATTCTTATGCTATTTTGTAAATGGATGTCTGTTTGTTAACATATTTGCCTTCAATTCCTAAAAAGAAAAAAAAAAAAGTGGGTCCTTTGTCATCCCCACCCATTGCTGCCTGAGACCTGCAGGGGGCAGCAGTGACCATGCTTAGACGGCTGTGTGCGGTGGGGCTGGTTCCAAGGCTAGGCTGAGCCAGAGCGGGAGGAGGGGATGGACTAAGAGAGGAGAAAAGACGGTGGGCCACCCTCCTGGGGAGGGCGACAGCCTCAGAGAGTCGGCAGTGAGTGGGATTAAGAGGCCTGGAGAATTCTGTCACCAGGCCTGGGCTTTAGGGCACAGGAAGGGGCAGTAAGTGGTTTTGAGTTCTGCTTGGCCAGGTGAACTTGGGGCAGAGAAAGCGATGGGAGAAGGTGTGGTACAACTGCCTAAAGGTGGACTCAGGTCTTCCCTGGAGGTTCGCAGCCACACACTTGCATGGGCAGCACACACACTCCCAGAAAGAAAAGTTATCCAGGACTTTTTCAGTTACAAGCAACAGAAATCCAACTCAAACTGGTTTACATAGAGGAAGGGACTGTATTGGCCATCTAACTGCAAAACCCAGAAGTAGATGTTTCAGGTATGCTTCAGACCTGGCCGGATCCAGGTGCTCAAACAGCACTGTTATGGTAGGGGTCCGGCCCTCTCATCTTTGGGCATGGCCTTCATCAAGGCTGGCTTCATTCGATAGCTCCCTGTCTCTTTGACGAGGACTAACTGCAGTTTTTCTCTCACAGCCACCCTTCCTATCCACTCAAGAGATGGAATGTTTCTTTCCAGCAATTCCCAGAGAAATCCTGCCTTCGCTGCAATCTTCCCCTGGTCATGTGCCATCCCTGGATCCATCACTGCTCCCAGGGGATGGGATATTGGTGGGCAAGCCTTGCTCATGTGCCCACCCTTGGGGAGGAGGCAAATCAACCTTGCTGAACCCCCTAGACTAAAAGTTGGGGATCCAAAGGGACAAAGGTTCTCAGAACTGGGAATGGAAGGCTGAAACTTGCCTCCAAAGTCAGGGGATCTCCAGCCTGAGCTGCTCCCATGGGCCTAAGCCAGGGTACAAGAGGCTACAAGGGTCATTTCCCCTCTTTTCCTTCCCTGTCCCCACCCCAAGGTGCCCAGTACGGCTGCAGTAGTTCTGGCTGACGTCTCTACAGACCGTACTTGCAGGCCAGTCTCCACCCCAAGGCTTATCACACCTTGACTGACTCAAACAAGAAGTGCTGTCATTGTTCCCAGCTTACAGATGAGTCAAATGAGGACAGAGGGGTGGAATGGCTTATCCCAAATTGTACAGCAGCTCAGGCACTGCTCTTTCTCTGGGGAGGAGCTCAGGAAGGAAGGAGCGCTCTGGGAAAGAGGATTGGGGTCCTAGAGGCATCAGCCAGGAAACTGGCCTGCAGCCCTGCAAACCCTACTTTTGGGAGAGGATCTGGTTTTTTTGTTTGTTTGATCAGTTTTTGGGTTTTTTTGTTTGTTTGTTTGTTTTGTCTTTTTGAGACAGGGTCTCACTATGCAGTTTAGGCTGGCCTTAAACTCATTTATGTTGCCCAGGCTAGCCTCAAACGCGCAATAATCCTCCTGCCTCAGCCTCCTGAGTGCTAGGATTACAAGCGTGTGCCACCATGCTTGGCTTATTGGAAGAGGATCTGGAGGAGATATTCGGCAGGTTTTTGCTCTGGAAATTCATATCCTTATTGTAGAAAGATGGTAGAACTTCAGGCCAAGGTCAGCAGGGGAGGCAGGGAGGCTGTCTGGCTTCCAGTGCAAGATGTAGGAGCTTTGGGAGCAGAGAGCGGCTCAGAGACGCACCTGGGACGGGGGTGGGGGGGTAGGGGTGGCAAAGGGAAAGCCATGCCATCTCCAATGGGTGCTAGAAAGGACAGAGGTCCACATAGCCTCATGGCATCCTTGAATGGCTGGCCCAGCTCTGACCCAGAACTGTAACTCCCCGGCGTCCCCCACTCCTGCAGGTGGGTGTTTGTCTACGAGAAGGGCTACCAGACCTCGAGTGGCCTCATCAGCAGTGTGTCAGTGAAGCTCAAAGGCCTGGCTGTGACCCAGCTCCAGGGCTTAGGCCCCCAGGTCTGGGATGTGGCCGACTACGTCTTTCCAGCACAGGTCAGCTGATGCAGATGCACTTCCGCCCGCCTCCCTGGGGTCCCGTCCAGCTCCTTGTTCTCTCTGCACCTCAGTTTCCCTGTGAGCCTGGGCCTAACATCTCCCTGTGGCATGGCGGGGTGTGGAGGCCGCTGGCCGTCAGATGGGCTCCAGGGGCCAGTGGGAGGTCTCAGGGCTGTTTTTCCAATCCTTCCCCACTCTCCCTGCCCCTCACTTCCAGGGGGACAGCTCCTTTGTGGTCATGACCAATTTCATCATGACCCCCCAGCAGGCTCAAGACTACTGTGCAGAGGTGAGGATCTGCCTTGCCCAGACCCACAAGGGAGAATAACTTGGAAGAGGTGTTCCCTTGGCCCTGGAAGCGATGTCAAGCAGGGCCTCCCGTGGGGTCCCGTGGTGGAATGTCAAGCGTAGATTCGCACAAGCGACTGTCCTCCAGTGACAGTGCCAGTCTGCCTCCCAGATGTGTGCCAAGCTAAATGCCCAGTCTTAGGGCCTCCCCCTCCCCCAGCCTCCCCAGCTCTGCCTAGCAGCAAGGGTGATGGACAACTGGGTGTGAACCCAGAGGTATGGAGGCTGGGGGAGGAAGCTGTGAGCAGGGCTCACCCTAAGAGTCTGAGACTCTACCGCATGCCTTCCTAGGGCCCTGTGGGTGGGAGGGGCTCTTTGTAGGATAGCACCCAAGGGGCCAGGGGCCAGCACCTCTCGCCTCCCTCAGCACCCAGAAGGGGGTACGTGCAAGGACAACAGCAACTGCATCCCGGGGAAGGCAGAAAGGAAGGCCCAAGGTAAGGCCACCTTTCTGCTCTGCTGGCTCCAGGCCCTGCGCCCCTCAGGCCCTCCTGGGCACGTACCTGCCTGCCCCACACCTGTGCCATCAGCCTCCACTAGCAGTCTGCCCAGCTCTCTGCCTCCAGCCACCTGCCTGGGGTGCCCTGTCCCAGCCCCTCCAACATTCCTATCCGCAGGTTCCTTCTCCTCGGTGCCCCTTCACTGGGGACCCTGGGGGAGGGACCTAGAGGTCCCCTTTGTACCCCCAGCCTGAGTGGGGATCCAGGGGTTCCTCCCTCGCTCCAGGCATTCGCACGGGCAAGTGTGTGGCCTTCAATGACACTGTGCAGACGTGTGAGATCTTCGGCTGGTGCCCTGTGGAGGTGGATGACATTATCCCTCGGTAGCTAATGCCCTGTCCTTCCAGGGAGTTGGGGGCAGGGTCCCTAGCCCAGACACAAGGGTGGCTGGGTCTGGAAAGAATCCATTTCTTGCTTCCTCTGACTCCACCCTCACCTCATCTGTGTGGCCCTGGCCAAAGAGTCCCCTGGCTCTTGGTCAAGGGGCCTCTGAGTCCACCACTGGGGGGCCATACCCCGAACATAAGGCTGCAGGAGGACCCCATGGGCTCCCTCTCCCTGCCCCATGCCAAGTTCTGTGGAACACACAAGGGGACCTCTAGGGGGCAGTGAGTGAGTGTGGTCTTCTCCAGCCCTGCCCGTCTCCAAGAGGCCGAGAACTTCACTCTCTTCATCAAGAACAGCATCAGCTTCCCACGCTTCAAGGTCAACAGGTTTGTGGGAAATGTGGGCAGCAACACAGGCGGCTCTAGAGGCTGCTCCAGCTGCTCCCAGCACTCTGTCTCCCTCCAGCCTAGCTTCTGCTTTCGTGCTGGAGACAGAAGCCCAATCTGGGCCCCCAGGGGGGCTGTGAAGGGGCGTTCTGGAGGCCATGAGGGTATGGATATGAGGGGCATAGTGGGCACATTGGGACCAACACTCTCTGCCTCCGCAGGCACAACCTGGTGGAGGAGGTGAATGCCTCCTACATGAAGACCTGCCTGTATCACAAGACCTTACACCCTCTGTGCCCTGTCTTCAACCTTGGCTATGTAGTACAACAGTCAGGCCAGGACTTCCGGAGGCTGGCTGAGAAGGTACAGCATGGTACCAGGCCAGGAGGACACAACGAAGTCCTTTCAGGCCCAGTTTAGCCTCCCCAGTGCAGAGCCACTGTGTCCAGGGCTAGCTCCCTTCTTTTTTTTTTTGGTCTTTTGAGACAGGGTCTCGCTATGCAGTTCAGGCTGGCCTTGAGCTCACTTTGTAGCCCAGGCTGGTCTCGAACTCTCTACGATCCTCCTACCTCAGCCTCCTGAGTGCTGGGATTACAGGCATGCGCCAACACACCCGGCAGGACTATCTCCTTATACTTGGGCCCCTGAGGGTCAGGTCTGTGTCCCCAGCAGTGGCTGGCCTGGACCTAGAAAGAGGAAGTGCCCAGAATGAATGAATGTGGGCAGACACTGTCAACTGGATGCTTGATGATGTCCTGCTTCTTCTTATTTTATTTTTATTGTATGGAACCTAGGGCTTCTTGCATGCTAGGCGAGTACTCTACCACTAAACTACACTACCAGCCCTTTTTTATTTTGAGACAGGGTCATGCTAAATTGCCAAATCTGGGCTCAAACTTCCAATCTTCCTGCCTCAGCCTCTCAAGTAGCTGGGATTACAGGTATATGCCACTATACCTGCCCTAGACCTATTCTTTAATTCAACAACTATTTGTGTGTCTCCTGTGCTATAACTTGTATTAAGAGGGGTCAGTGACAAATCCCCATTCTTCTCGATTTTACAAGCTTGGAGATGGATTGATAAAAAATCACCCCAAATAAGCAAATAATTACAAAGTGACAAAGGTTCCAAATGTATATATAGAGTACAACAGCAGGGAATAACAAAGGATGTATTTTAGTTTGAAGTGGTAGTCAGGGAAGCTGTCCCAGAGACAATGACGAAAGGCTGAGAAGGAGCCAGCCTTAGGAAAAACTGGAGAAGTAGCATTGCAAAGGCCCTGAGGTAGAATGTGATGGGTCAGAAGTGCATCCAGAGAGGATGACGGGACTTCCACTGCAAAGAAACATCTCAGTCTTTTCTCAAATTAAAAAATGTTCCCTCTTTGACAGAGTGCAGGCATTAGCTCTAAGACAGGCATTTTTGTGGTTCTTAAATCCCAGCTTTTAAACACCTGTGTCCCTGGCAGGGTGGGGTGGTCGGCATCACCATCGACTGGAACTGTGACCTGGACTGGCATGTGCGACACTGCAAACCCATCTATGAGTTCCACGGGCTGTACGGGGAGAAAAACCTGTCTCAAGGCTTCAACTTCAGGTGCCTGCCCAGGCCCCACTGTGCCCTTCCCTGGAGTCCTGCTGGGGCTGGGCATCATGTGTCCCCAGAGGGGAGCAGAGGACCCTGGGAAATCTCCCATCCGTGTGGATGGCCCAGCAGGGAGCAAGACCTCAGGGGCCTGAGTCCTCTGCCTATCTCAGTCCCCTCAAGGCCCGACTGGCCAGGATGGCTGGGGAAACGGCTGACAGCAGGCGTCAGGGAAAGGGTAGAGTGCGACATTCTCGGACTGAGGTTTGCAAATCTCCTGGCCAGTGCTGGGGGTGACATGGACGCTGAAGTGTCCTGGATACCTGATGCTCTGATGCCCGTGATAGTTCCCTATCACCCTCTTCTGTTACCTCACCCCTTCCCCAAGGTTTGCCAGGCACTTCGTGGCAAATGGAACCAACCACCGTCACCTCTTCAAGGTGTTCGGGATTCGCTTTGACATCCTGGTGGATGGCAAGGTGAGTTTCCTGTGTGTGTGTGTGTGGGGTGCAGCTGAGTCAGCCTTGCATCTGGCTGTCCACAGTTATGGTGACAGAAGCTGGATAGGGTGGGGTCTGTTCAGCAAGCCTAACGACAGACGGGACACGGGCGATGTCCAGGGTGAGGCTTTGCAGTCAGTGACCACGATTCTTTAACAAATTCCCTGGGTGCAGGGAGGGAAAACCGAGGTCAGCCGGGAGCTGGCTCCCCATGGAGAATCAGAGCCCTGGGCAGCAGGTGGTGGGCAAAGTTTAGAGTCCAGGAGCAAGGGCTGGGGAAGCTCCCTTGTCCCTTTTCAAGCTGAGCCGCTTCTGACTGTCAACTCTTCTCTCCCCTGGACCCTGCCACCAGGCTGGGAAATTTGACATCATCCCCACAATGACCACCATTGGCTCTGGCATTGGCATCTTCGGGGTGGTAAGTGCTGGGGACACCAGGTCACTGCTGAGGTGACCCCTCCTCTTCCACATCTTAGTGACAGCAAGCCCCTCCTCCCAAAACTTGACTGTACTTGTCCTTCATTAGTGAGCTGGCCGCTGCCCACCCCACCACCCTATATGCCAGGGTGTCTGAGGAAGCTGAGGCTGAGAGCTGGGGCAAGACAGAGATGGGATAGGACTGCCCTAATCCCCCGAGAGTCATGCAGTGCCTCACCATCCCATCCGGGAAACTGAGGTTCAGAGTCACAGGATTCAGGCAGGGCCACACAGTCAGTAGGGCCTGCTGTGGATGTGGAAAGTTCCATGCCCTTCCAAATTCCCATGCTGCATCTGTGCTCCTCCTTGCCCCAGGCCACCGTTCTCTGTGACCTGCTGCTGCTCCACATCCTGCCAAAGAGGCACTACTACAAGCAGAAGAAATTCAAGTACGCGGAGGACATGGGGCCAGGAGTGGTAAGAGAACTTCTTGAGGGCAGCCCTTCAAAGAGCATGTGTGTGTGTGTGTGTGTGTGTGTGTGTGAGGGGTGGTTGCATCAGTGGCTTTCCCAGCGCTGACTTGTATTCCCCAATGCACACACAGGAGGAGCGTGATCCCGCGACCACCAGCTCCACCCTGGGCCTGCAGGAGAACATGAGGACCTCCTGATTTCGGCCCCTGACTGCCGACCGGATGCAGCACAAGGCTTCACACTGGAGCCCTAGTGGGTCCCAGCCCAGGGCAGGGGTCTCTCCAGGGAGTCTCCTGCCTGCTCAGCCAGGCAGATTCATTTGCCCACAGCTCAGGTGGCTACTAGGAGGGACTGGTACAATTCGGGGCACTGGCTCCAATTCTGCATCCCCCAAGACAGCCCAGCTCCCAGTCTCAGCCACTCCTGCTCGCAAAGGCTCTGCAAGGCACACTCACACACTTGTACCCTAGCTTTGTGCTTATTACCTGGGGCCTTCAGTATCCACCCCACTGCCTCAGTTTCTCTAGATCTGTGTTCTCCAATATGGCAGCCACTAGTCATAGGCCGCTATTTAAGTATATTACGATGGAATAAAATAAAAAAGTCCTCAGTTGAGCTAGCCACATTTCAACTGCTCAGGAGACACACATGGCCAATGGCTGCTGTATTGGATATCACGGAATGTTTTTATCATCAGAGAAGTTTCCTTCGGGCAGGTCTATTTGCATCATGTTTCTGCCCAGCCTCAGATAGTCAGGCCCCCTGAACCTGAAGCTGCCAGGCCAGTCACATGGATAGCAAATGTCTAGGCCACTTTAAGACCTTGACTTAAGAACTGCTCTCCTAGAACTTGCTGACTCAGAGCTCTTGATAGAGTGACTTATCCCTGGGCTGGCACCACCTGGCAGATGTGGGCATCGAACAGGGCTCAAACACCCTCAGCTAGTGTGTAGTGTGTTCACGTGCCACACAATGATTCATACACCCTCCCCCCCGTGCACCCCCCGCCTACAAGCACACCACCACCCACGCACACGCAGCCCTCCATCCATGCTGTGTTTGAACAGCTTGGGCCTGCAAACACAGCCATCTGAGCACACCTACGCCCCAAGCAGAGACACACGGTCAGTGCTGCATCTCCTCCACGGGGAAATGCCTCTTCCCTAGTGTGTCAGGCCAGGACAGCCCTTCTAGCGATGAATCCTTTCTCAGCTACCTCGGGCTGGGATGCAAGCCTGAGCCAAGTCCTGGGCTCTGTGCCTGCGGTCCAGCCCCAGCTTCTGGGCCTGCCTGGCTCTGTCGGAACAGAAGGGCTGGGAAAGTGAAGGTGGAGTACAATAAATGGGATTAGGATGGGCTTCTGCCTTCCTCGATTTCTTTCCAGACTTCTCAGCAGCTCAGTGGGCCCGTGTGTGAAATGTGGGGTGGAGCTAAGCGATGGCTGAGGTCCCTCTGGATCTGTGGTGCGTAGTGGTAAGCTGATTTGTGTGCTCTGGACCCAGCAGGGCTGTACATGGGTCACTGTCCTGGCCCAGCCCCGAACAGCAGTGCTCTTTCCTCTGTTCCGCATGAAGTGGCCTCATGAAATGGATGAGGGAGCGGCTGGCTGTCCTAAGAGTGAGAGGCAAGGGATCCCAAAGAAGGAAGGAGGCTGTGTGAGGCAGCTTTTATCACTGTGACGAAATATCTGAGAGAAGCAATTTAAAGGAGGAGGGGCTTAATTTGGTGTGCAGCTGTAGAGGTTTCCCTTCACAGTCAGAAACATCACGGTGGCAGGTTGTGGCAAACGAAAGCTTCTCATCTGCTCACAACTGGGAAACAGGGTTTGGCATGGTGCCACATGCCTGTAATCCCAGCACTCGGGAGGCTGAGGCAAGAGGATTGCTGTGAGTTCGAGGCCAGCCTGGGCTACAAAGTGAGCTCAAGGCCAGCCTGACTGCATAGTGAGACTCTGTCTCAAAAAGGCCAACAAAACAAAACAAAACAAAAACAACTGGGAAACAGAAAGGGAAAGAGCCAGAGAGCAAGGGGCTGAGGATCATCTAGTCCCCCACGTCACGCTCCTTCAACTTCTTTCCACTGGGCCCTCCTCCCGATAGGCCATTCCACTGTGGACTCGTCAGTGGGTTAATCCATTTATGAAGTTAGGACCCTTATGACCCAACCCCCTCTGTGAGACCTGCTTCTGAACACTGCTACACTGGGGCCCAATCCCTCAGTATATGAGTCTGTGGGGGGACACTTCCTGTTTAAACCGTAACAGAGGGGCTGGTGACAGTGAGGAAGGACCCCCAGAGGTCCTGCCATGGCCGTGATCTCCAGGTCTGAAGGTACAGCCACGCTGGGTTTCCACTCTGACCTTTCTAGACCGACAGAACTTCCTGAAGCAAGGGATGTTCTCAGTCTGTGCTGCCCAGGGAGGTTGCCGCCAGCCACAGGTGGCCACAGAGCACCTGAGATGCAGCCAGTGCCACTGTGAAGCAGTTTTTACTTTATTAACTTTTAATTCACTTAAATAGCCATATTTGGCTAGTGGCTCTCAGATTGGACAGCACAGGCTAGTGCTTCCCACCTCGCTTGGACCCTTGCCTTGGCCCTTTGTCCCCTCCCCTGGCCAAGCACAATGGCTCAGTTTTTGCAAGACATGAGCTCCCCCTTCCGCCCTCCCTTCCTTCTCCACACCCTGCTGCTGTGTCCTCCTGTCCCTTCTCTCCTGAATGGAAAGAGCTTCTCTGTGTCCAATCCTTCCACCTAGGCCGCAGACCTCTTGGCCATAGCTGCCTCCTCTCGCCCACTCCTGTGGGATCCCCTTCTCTGCCTCTGGCTGGGTACCCCCCACCTGCCCACTGTCTCTCTGCCACCCTTCCAGAAAGACCAGCTCATACTTCTCTCTACTTGGCTTCCACCCCCACTGGTTCTAGATGTCCCTGCCAAGGTCACAAGCAGTGTTCTTGTTGCCAGATCTGAGCAGGCACTTCTGCCTGTATCCTGCTTGGCCTGTCAGCATCTGACACTGTGGCCCAAGTCCCTTTCTTCAGATTGCTTCACCAGCCCCAGGGCCCGGCCCTCTCCTGGTTTCCCGGGCACCCTGGTGTTTGGGGAAGAGGCCGCACTGCAGCTCTGCCTCCGTGGCTGGTGAGCTCTTGGGCGAGTTGCTTCACTCTGCAAGTCTCAGTGAGTCAGCAGTAATGACAGCTTCTCTCAGGGCTGGGTGAGATGTCTGCAAAGTGCACAGAGCCTGGCACACAGTCAGTGGTACTCGGCCCCTCAATTTATTCACCCATTCAATGGCGGAGTCACCCAGTGTCCCTGGGTATGCATTATCCCTTTGGTGATAAAACCCTCGCTTCTTGATTGGGCAGGTGACTGTTTAGATGGAAGTTGCATTTCCTGTTCTGCCTCTTGCAACAGGGCCTGGTCACGTGCCTAAGTTCAAACTATTGGGCTGTCCAGGGAAAGCATCAGGTGATACCGACTGGGAACTTGCCTTAAAACAGTTGGTACAGACCCTTTGCCTTTTTCTTCAACCTTTTTGACTTCTCAGTACCTGGAATGCATATGTGATGGCTGGAGCTCTAGTCTCTATTCTGAACCACAAGAACAAGAGCCACACCTAGTGGTTGTGGAAACAGAGCAGCCAAACCCATATATCAGGTGAGACCCGTCTTCTTTGGGGCTTATATCTGGAACTTCTGTTATCTAGGTCAGCATTCTGATCCTACCTGTTGCCAAATTCTTTCCTCTTTTTTTTTTTTTTTTTTTTTTTTTTTTTTTTTTTTGGTCTTTTTAAGACAGGGTCTTGCTATGCAGTTCAGGCTGGCCTTGAGCTCACTTAGTAGCCCAGGCTGGTCTTCAACTCCCAACGATCCTCCTGCCTCAGCCTCCTGCGTGCTGGGATTACAGGCGTGCGCCACGACGCCCGGCACAATCTTTCCTCTTTTAAATGTTTTGTCCTTGGCGCTTGTATTTGCTGAATGATCCTTTCCCATACCTCTGTTTACAACTATGGTCCTTCCTGAGAACATGTGTCTTCGGGACTGGGACTGGAGCTCAATGGTAGAACTCTTGGGGGCTGGGGATTTAGCTCAGCGGCAAAAAGCGTCTGCCTGGCAAGCGCAAGGTCGTGAGTTTGGTTCCCGGTACCGGAGAAAAACCAAAAAAAAAAAAAAAAATGGTAGAACTCTTACCTTGCATGTGTGAGGCCTTGGGTTTGATTCCCAACACTGCAAAAAAAAAAAAAAAAAAAAAAAAACAAAACCCAAAAGTGTCTTTTTGCCCAGTCCTTCTTCCCAACACCTATAAAATATGTCAGGTGCATCCTCTGCCCTCAAGGATCTTCTAGTTTAGATGGGGAACAGGCAGGTAAAGAGGTGCTGGCTACAAGGGAGCCCCTAGGGAGGCAGCTAAGCATTCCTCGAAGTGAGGAGGTTCTGGGGAAAGGTTCTTGGCAGAAGGGCCTGAACTGGGTCTAAAGAAATAGCAGGCGTTCAGCAGGCAGAGGGCAAGGGTAAGGCTCCAGGGCTTGGCTGGATGCACTCTTGGGGTAGTGGTGAGCCACGGAAGATTCCCAAGCAGGAGCTGGCTATGAACCCTGTTTTGGAAAGCCTGATGGGAAGGTAGACTGCAGGGGTCAGAGGCACTGAGGAGCCTGCTGCAATGGGGCGGGTGGGGTGCCCTGAGCTAAGGGCTGGTGGAGGCGTGCAGAGGAGTGAACAGATTCCAGGGATATTTAAGAGGCTAGTGCTAGACTGGTTAGGGCAGGACACAGGTGGGCTGCAGGTGATTCCCAGGTTTCTGGCTCCAGTTTGAGACAGAGACATGTGAGGTCAGGTTTGAGACAGTGCTATAAGGCTCTGTTTGGAGCAAGTAGTGGTGTGGGGATTCCCAGCAAAGTTAGCCGAACGGAACCAAGAGCTGATAAGCTCTTGGGGAGAGGCAAGGGCAGGTTCCCCAGGCACAGCTGCTGCAAAGGTCACCCCGTCCTGTAGGGTTCCTTCCACTCCCTGGGCCCCAGCCTGGGGTTTTCTGCCACCTGCTCAGAGCCCTTCCCTAACACGTATACCACCCCCCTCCCCCGTATCGGGAATCGAACTCACGACCTCGCGCTTGCCAAGAAGGCGCTGTGCCGCTGAGCTAAATCCCCAGCCCCAACATGTATACGACTCTGACTCCAGCACTCTGCTCAGTTATCCTCCTGGCCTCCCTGGCGCCCACCGAGCCTGTCATTCAAGCTCCACCTCCAACCACCCCCGCCTTTGCCTTGGCCTGGTCTCTGCGGATCTGTCTCCTCTCTCCCTCACCTCCAGCAAGCACCAAACCTCTCCCGGCGAGAGAGGGGACGCTCTTGCCTCTGCAGGTCGGGAAGGGTGGACTAAGGATTTTAGGGGAAGCACCCACACGCATCAGCCTCTACTAAGGGTCTACGACGCTGCCTAAGGGATTCTGTGGAACTCAGGCTGCCAGCCTGCGGGCGCCGCGGGGCGTGACGATGCCGGGTCCCCGCCACTGAGTTCCTCCCTAGACGCCACCCGCCGCCGGCACCGCCCCTCCACAAGTGGGCGTGAGTCTCGGGCTCCGATTGGACGGCTCGCGGGGGAGCTGCGAGGCCGGACCAATGAGCGCGGGCCGGGCGCGGCGGCGGGCGGGGGAGCTAACGCTGCCTGGGGCCTCGGCGCCCCTAGTCTGAGCTCGGCGTTCTGGGCCCGGACAAGGCGGGCGGGGCCCAGCGCGCGTTGCCGGAGCGAGCCTGGCCTCCGGTACGGCCGCGGTGACAGTCGCCCGGCGCCCAGGTAGAGATCGGCGGGCAAGGGACCTAAGCGGGGAACGGGAATCCAAATGCCTGAACGAACGATCGTCTGCTTCAAGCCCCTTGGGGAGAGGGGTGGTCCGCAAGGCTGCTCTCCTGGCTGGGATCCTCCCCCTCCATCTGTGGGCCCGGGTCTAGGCGGCGCTTCTGGAGCCTGCTCAGGCTGTGCCCGCATCCCGCCATCTGCGTCCCTTCCCTAGCTGTGGTCTGCGGGGCTGCGTCCAAACCCTGCGCATTGTCCGCCCGCCCGGCCCTTCGCGGAGGCCGGGTCTATGCGGAGTGGGCCCAGGGGGTGCACCCACGTGCGGCTTTCTGCGGAGCGCCCTCGCGTGAGTCTGGCTTCAGAGCTGGGGGCGGGGTGGTGAATGGGACGGACGCGGAGCGCGGCTTTAGCTGCGCAGTCTTCCCCAGCCGGGGCGGGGAGGGGGCGGCGCAGGCGGGCGCTGCAGACGGGCGTTGCGGCTTTGGGGACCTGGCAGGCTCAGAACCGGTGGCTCGGAGGGTGCACACGTGCGCGGGGAGCCGTGTGTGGTGTTGGGAGGCGGGTGTGC